TTATAATTTCACAAGAGGGCTAATCCTTTCATCAAAAACATTATCAAAAATAATAATTAAATGCTTTTGAGCTGTTTAATGATGATTTACTTGTTCAGAATCGAGTTCTTTTAGATGTGTCTGCCATGGAATAAACTGATTAAAAGGCTTATAGCTCATTTTTATATCAGATTTTTTTTCGTGGAATTGCAAGGCTGTGCGTCGCATTTCAAATTTTAAAAATTTGTTTCTCAACTATTTCTAAATTCAATTCTAATTTCCAGCAAACGAATAAATAAACAATAATAATGAAGTGTGGACTTAGATCCAAACACACGTCCTATTCTTGTGCCCTATATCAGGGGTCACCAAACTTGTTCCTGGAGGGCCGGTGTCCTTCACATTTTAGCTCCAACCCTAATCAAATACACCTGAACAAGCTAATCAAGGTCTTGCTAGGTATACTTGAAACATCCAGGCAGGTGTGTTGAGGCAAGTTTTAGCTAAACCCTGCAGGGACACCGGCCCTAAAGGACCGAGATTGGTGACCCCTGCCCCATATGGTGATGCAGACGTCTTCAAAACCAGACAGGTGTAAATATTTAAACTTGTTTTGATTTAAAAAAAAAATTATATATATAATATATAATTTATATATATATATATATATATATATATATGCATATAATAAATAATACTGATAATAATAATAACATTATAAAGATGCAAATTGTTATGAATAAACTGAAAAAGCCCCCAAGATGAGGCATGAAAGCAGTGGTTTTTATATTTATACAGTAAATAATTATTTTTGTATCATTTTAATCCTTAATTTTTTTTCATCTGTAAAGATATTTGTGTTGCTGTACATTCTGTATATATTAAGTAATGTGTTAGTGTTTGGACCTGCATAGGGGCATAATTAACGTGCTCTGTGCTGGACTTTAGAGCAGCTTTTACTTGGTCAATGGCGCGGCCTATTTCAGATCCTCAAAAAGGCAAAGCGCCAGCAATTCACCTTAACACACCTCCTTTATAGACCAGCACACCCATGAGTCTACAAAGTGATGCAAATGGATTTGCTATTAAAACAAGGTGGTGCAAATCGTGAAAACGACAGTTGCCCTGGTCTGAAAACAGCAACAAATCGAGCCAAACACACCTTGCGCCCTATTGAGCCGGGTGTATAATAGGGCGCAGTGTGTGAGTGTGAGCATGCGTTTGTGTGTGTGTGAGTGAATGTATGTGTGTGAAAGAGATTCTTTTTTTCATTTAGTAGCTTTTACTTTGTTCTATTTACTTTTCCCTCATCCTCATTATCATCATCATCCTCATCATCATCATATTTTGCTCATAATAAAATAACAATATGTCAAGTGTTATAAAGATGAATTTGGACTACCCAGTCTCATTTCAGTGCACAAAATCCTTCAAAAAAATCTTTCACTATATCTGCATTAATCTCCTTAGAGGCCAGCTGAAATTCCCCAGTGTCCCCGTGACACAAAAAGACAAAAGTTCAAGCTGTAAAACCCCTCAAAACCTCTGGAAACCAATTTCTGCTGTCCGCTATTTTGGTTAAAAGGCTTATTTTTAGAGGCATGAATTGGACAGTTAATCCATAATTCTGCAGTACAAGATTTAAACACACACACGCACACACACACACACACACACACACACACACACACACACACACACACACAGGCTGCTCTGAGAACGCACTCAAAAATGCTGTTTAGTGCATGTTCAGACTACTTATTTAAAATGAGCTGAAACACACAATTCTTGAGTTTTTTGGGAGGGGTTCGACTTAATTATTTTACGTTTAATCCACTTAAATTTGTAAAAACTACACTGAAAAAAGTGTTGCATGCAGAACTGTTGCAAACAATTTATTTGTGTTGAATTTAAACAAACAAATTAAACTTAATAATGTTCAACTTAATTTGTTTGTTTAAATTCCGCCCAAATAAATTGCTTACAACCACTCAAAGAAAAAAAATTGAGTAAATCCAAAGAATCATCTTTGAATAATTTAAGTGTAATAAAAGTTAACGTAATTTCATCATGTTGTTCCAAGACAAACTGATTGTTTTGCATTATTTTATTACTTTTGGTTTTTTTGCAGCGTGATTTATCTTTCAGGAAGGGATAAACACTGAACTCTCCATGTGATTTCTTTGTTGTTTCTGTGTCCACTAACACTGAATCCAGTAGATGCACATGTGACTGCTATAAAGCCAGCCTTTATAGATCACTGATCAATCCATGCCTAAGGCAGACTGAGCTAAAACCTTTATTGATGGACAACTGAATCCTGAGATTGGAAACTTTGCACATTTCTGTTTACAAGGTCGACTAAAAATGTATGATAATACTAAAGTGTATTAAAGGCGACCTATTATGCAAAAATCACTTTTATAAAGGGTTTAAACACAGTTACGTGACAACAGTCTGTGAATTCATCCAGCTTCTAATAGTCAAAAATTATTCATCATATTTTTTATAGTCACACTTGATTGCAGAAACACTTTGATTGACATTCTCCCTTTGTACGCGTCATTAGAGGGGGAAAGCCCAACCCACTAGTAAACATCTCTCCCTCATTAACATAGCTCGTCAGTCTTGTTTTTGAATCTGCCACTATGCTGACACACAAGCATTTGTAGCTCCGCCCTCTTTTAAAAAGAGCACAATCTCATTTGAATTTAAAGTGACAGACACTAAAATGGCACAATTAGGATCAAAGACTAAAAGGGTCAGAATAAAAGAGTTATAAACATTATTTATGTGGTATTTTGAGCTGAAACTTCACATACACACTCTAGAGACAAAAGAGACTTATTCTACATCTTGTAAAAAGAAACATAGCAGGTCTCCTTTAACCTCCTAGGGGTCTTAATTGGCTTTTAAAATACTTTGAATGTTTTATATTTTATTACAGACATACAGTGTCATCCTGCAACTGTTTTGCAGCATAGGAAATGTCCCAAACCCTATTTTTAACTGTCCAAAATAGGATTTTTTTTTGTTTTTACTCTTTAATAGTAAAAGCAAGTTAAAAAAATGTCTATGTTATATATGCATTAAAAAAATGGGGAGTAAATTTTGACCACGAGTCCACATTTATGTACATAATTTTCCTCTAAAAGTACATCGTATCTAAAGATGATACTTAGTTTTTATTCTAATTAGGTTCTAATAAGCCCAAATAGCAAAGAGAAATAAAAAATGCATGTAAAAACACCTTGGGCCTAAAGAGGTTAAAAGACAGCTGAGATGGAAAACAAACTTCATATGCAAGTAGTGATTGCAGATCAATAAAATATTGGTTCTATATTGTTTACACTATTAATTTTGTGTCCAATATATTACTAAAACTAAAAACAGTGAATTTAAATGACACATCAGCATAATCTTTTATTTTGGCCAGTTTGGGAAGTTTGGCCAGAGGAGAAATGTTCGTGCTCAACTGAGCCTGGTTTCTCTCTAGGTTTTTTCCTTCACTTTGTTAAAAGGTGAAGTTTGTTCTACATCACATTTGCCACTGGCTTGCTTGGTTTGGGACTTGTGGAGCTGAACATCGATAGTTTTGCTCTCCAGTGTTTGGACTTTCAGCAGTGAAAATGAAACCACACTGAACTGAACTAAACCTCAACTCTGGAAACTGGACTGACACTGTTTCAATTTACTAGAACTTCCATGTTAAGCTGCTTTGACACAATCTACATTGTAAAAGCGCTAGAGAAATAATTGAAATTAATTTATTCAAGACTCGATTTAACAGTGTTATTATATATATTTTTTATAATTATTTATATCCTTTATTTAATAAGACAGTAAAGAGAACTGACAGGAAAGTGTGTGGAGCAGAGAGAGGGGAAGGATCGGCATAGGACCTCGAGGTGGGACTCGAACTTGGTTCGCCATGAACACCGGAGTGCATGTGTCGGTGCATGTTCCACTACGCCATTGGCACCAACTGTTATTATAGTCTTTTACATTATACATCATTCCTATATTTTAAATAAAACTATATTTTGTCTACAATATTTAAATACTAAATAATATAATTTACTAAAATACTAAAAAACTAAATATAATCATATTTATTTAATAAACTCTTAACACAAACAATAACCATTTGAAATGCTAAAAGCTAATGTAGATGCGAACATTAGAATACAGAAAGAAACAGTAAGATGTGTTAACTGGCTTTACATTTTAACTATATTTAATAATGTTCAAGCATTGGGTGTTAAGGTGTCACGAAATAAAAATGCACCTTAATAAAAAGGAATATTCATATTATAATATGAGATCACACTGAGGATTAGTAATTTTGGTGGGTATTTTACCAATCTAAACAACTGACACAGACATTTACATTTTTTATCAAAAAAAGCTTTTTATTTACATATTTTGTATTATTTAAATGCTTCAAAAAATATTATAACTTTAAATTGTACATCAATGTAAGATTAACAAAACTACAATATATTATATGAAAATAATAATGAAATAATTAATTAAATTCATTAATAATTATATTTAATTATAGAATAATTAATTATATTTAATTCATTTTGCAAACGCAAGATTACAGATTACAGTGTTTTAAATGCACAATCCGTGTAAAAACAAACAAAAAAATATTTTATTTGTGTATTTATATCATTCCTTTTTTAATCAGGGATCGCCGCAGTGGAATGAACCGCCAACTTATCCAGCATATGCTTATCCAGCCACAACCCAACACCCATACATTCTCATTCACACGCATACACTATGGCCATTTTAGCTGATTCAACTCACCTAGAGCGCATGTGTTTGTACTGTGGGGGAAAACGAGAGCACCCAGAGAAAACCCATGCCAAAATGGGGAGAACATGCAAACACTCCTTACAGAAACGTCAACAGGGCGTGACCCTTTCTGTGAGGCGATCGTGCTACCCACTGCGCCACTGTGACGCCCATGTGTTTATATATTAATTATGTAAAATAGACAACAGACTCACCTGCATCAAGGTCTGGAGAAAAGCAGCACAACATGAGAAAAGAGAGACAGTTATGTTAATATTTATCCATTTCCAGTCATCTTCACCCATTCATACACAGAAACATCCATTCATCATCCCGGTAATGAAGCACATTAATTATGATCATTAAAAGGGTCACATTAAGATCCCAGTCACCAATGCAGACAATCCCCTGCAAGGAAAACATGGGGAACCCACATATAAAAATACTATAGTAAATACCACAGTGTTTTTGAACTATACTATAGTATACAGTACTATAAAAACACTATAATATTTACTATAAATGACTGCATGATTTGTTAATAAGTGAAGTGTAGATCTGTTGTAAAGCTGGTTTCTGCCTTCACTCACATAAATTCGATTAAATATTAAAACTGTAAAACAAACTAACTTTTTTATAGTTGTAAATCAACAATATTCAAGTATGCTGGTGAAAAAAATATTGAGACAAAGACTCACACACACACACACAAAAGAAATGTTAGTGTGTTTCTGACTCTGATCTGTGGGCATTGATGCTCTGCTGGCTAACAGTGCGCCAGCAGATGGACGTTAGTGAGTGTGTGTATTTCTGAGGGCCAAATTCCTGGCGGAGATTTGGACAAGACATCCTTTATTGATATGGTGATGAAGCACTTTAAACAAAGCCGTGTGTATGCATATATACAGTTGAATTATGAGCCCCCTGTTTATTTTTTTTCCTAATTTCTGTTTAACGGAGAGCAGATTTCTTCAACACATTTCTAAACATAATAGTTTTAATAATTCCTTTCTAATCACTGACTTATTTTATCTTTGCCATGATGACAGTAAAAAATTTTAGACTACATATTTTTCAGGACACTTCTATACAGCTCAAAGTGACGTTTAAAGGCTGAACTAGGTTAACTAGGCAGGTTGGGTAATTGGGCAAGTTATTGTATAACGATGGTTTGTTCTGTAGACTATCGAAAAAAAAACTAGCTTAAAGAGACTAATAATTTTGTCCTAAAAATGGTGTTTAAAAAATTAAAAACAGCTTTTATTCTAGCCGAAATAAAACAACTTTCTCCAGAAGACAAAATATTATCATTATATCACAATATCCTAATTCAACCGGCAAGTTTTATTTGACAAGAACTGACACAGGCGTCTCCCAAAAGAAAATAAGACCATTTACAAGAGGCATCACTGCGGAAAAAAAATGTTTGTCAGCTTTTATTTACTTGTGACTCAATTGGATTTAAGTCAGGGCTCTGGCTGGGCCACTGCAAAACATTAATATTTTTGTCTGCTAACCGTTACATTTTTTTTCTTGAGCAGCAAATCATCATAGTATAATGATGTTTGAAATGGCATGTGGCACCATTAACTGGAGTAATAACGCTGAAAATTCTGAATAATTATAATCCAAACTGCATTCAATAATAACACAATATCATTTGTATTGCAATAACATTTAAGGAAACATTAAATAAATGCAGCTTTGTGAGCAGAATAGTTTTATTAAAAAAATAAAAAAAATCTTACTGATCCCAAATTTTTGACCAATAGCGTGTGTGTGTGTGTGTGTGTGTGTGTGTATATATATATATATATATATATATATATATATATATATATATATATATATATATATATATAAATATATATATCTACACACCATTACCGAGGGAAAATGTTCCAGAAAAACATTACATAAGGTCACATAAACACTCACATGTATGCATCTGTACATGTTCTTACCCATCTGTTTGTTAGTGTTTTGTCTTTGTTCAACAAGCCTACATGTTTAGTCATCTACTTTTTATTTTAGCCATGTTTCTTAATTGGATATTGTTTTTGATGTATGCTTATGCTTTACGATTGTAATGTGCAAATAAAAAAGCCACTATGATCAAATAACACACATGCAGGCGAACATACAGTATGCATATGCAGTGGAAGAGGAGTTTTATTTCCTTCTAGAACTGCTAGTTCCTGAGACGTGTGTTGACATTTATGAGGACTGTCAGACGAGCGTAAAGTATGACTGAGCGAGAGGACAATATTTTGACAGGAAGAATGTCGGTGCTTCAGAGGAAATAACTTCAGCCAACACCAGAATAACACTTCTTATTTTAATTACATTTTTATTTTAAGATGAATGATTTAGCAGTCACCTGGATCTGTCTAACCAAATTAGACTGATGATCTGAGGTGGAAAGACTGGATGGTAACGTTTTTCTGGAACATTTTACACCAATAATGGTGGACAGAGATATACAAGTTGTCTAATATATATATTATAATATTATTATACAACATATATATATATATATATATATATATACATATATATGTATGTATGTGTATGTATATATACAGTTGAAGTCAGAATTATTAGCCCCCTTTTTGATTTTTTTTCCTCTTTTAAATATTTTCCAAATGATTTTTAACAGAGCAAGGAATTTTTCACAGTATGTCTGATAATATTTTTTCTTCTAGAGAAAGTCTTATTTGTTTTATTTCGACTACGATGAAGGCAGTTATTAATTTTTTTAAAAACATTTTTGGGACAAAATTATTAGCCCCTTTAAGCTAATTTTTTTTCGATAATCTACAGAACAAATCACTGTTATACAATAACTTGCCTAATTACCCTAACCTGCCTAGTTCACCTTATTAACCCAGTTAAGCCTTTGAATGTCACTTCAAGCTGTATAGAAGTGTCTTGAAAAACATCTAGTAAAATATTATTTACTGTCATCATGGCAAAGATAAAATAAATCAGTTATTAGAAATGAGTTATTAAAACTATTATGCTTAGAAATGTGCTGAAACAATCTTCCCTCTGTTAAACAGAAATTGGGGAAAAAAATTAACAGGGGGCCCAATAATTCAGGGGGGCTAATAATTCTGACTTCAACTGTATATATATACATACATACATACATGCATATATATATAAATATATATATATATATATATATATATATATATATATATATATATATATATACATATATGTATGTTTAAACACATACTTTGTAGTGTTTTCAATCTTTTATAAGTCATACTCATAAATATATTTTGTACTTACTCTTTGCTGTATGGTGGCATGTTTGTGCTCCATCTCTCGTTTCTCCATTGCTGAATCTATAACCAGCTGATCCAGCTGAAACACAGAGGACATGGGTGAGCGTAGTCATTGTTATGAGTTTTATCACAGCTATATATCTATATAGCAAGGGACTCACTCCAAACAAATAAACAAAACATTCAATAGGATTATTTCTAATTATATTATAGTATAATATCTACTATTTTTTCTATTGTATTATGATATACACTCAACGGCCACTTTATTAGGTACAAATGCCCATTAATGCAAATTTCTAATCAGCCAATCACATGGCAGCAACTCAATGCATTTAGGCATGTAGCGAAGATCAAGACGAGCATCAGAATTGGGAAGAGAGGTGATTTAGGTGACTTTGAACGTGGCTTGGTTGTTAGTGACAAACGGGATGGTCAAAGTATTTCAGAAACTGCTGATCTACTGGGATTTTCATGCATAACCAACTCTAGGGTTTACAGAGAATGGACCAAAAAAGAAAAAATATCCACTGCGCGGCAGTTCTGTGGGTGCAAATGCCTGTCAGTGTCACAGCCAAGCGCTGTATTGTTGCTGACCATGTCCATCCCTTTATGACCACACTGGAACGGGAGATTTGCGTCATAGATGTGCAGCCGACAAATCTGCAGCAACTGTGTGCTCCTATCATGTCAATATGGAGCAAAAATCTCTGAGGAATATTTCCAGTAGCTTGTTGAATCGATGCCATGAAGGATTACGGCAGTTCTGAAGGCAAAAGGGGGTCAAACTCGGTACTAGTAAGGTGTACCTAATAAAGTGGCCGTTTAGTGTATTTGTTATTATGATATATCATATTATATTAGACATACGGAAATGAAACTATTTTTAATTCCTAATTGTAAGCCTGTCTTTTTTTAATGGTTTATTCACATTTTTTTACATTTTACATAAACAACGATCAAGAACTGAAATAGAAAAAGGGAGAAAAATAGAGAACACAAACAGGTACACACACACACACATATATACAGCAAATGTAATGCGAAAAAATTTAATTATTAAACAAACTAAATGAGGGACAGATGCCTACATGTATACAACAATCTCAATGTTAAATGTAAGCCTGGCTATCTTAACAGATACAATTTGTCTTTCCCCTGGAGGACAGGCATTATCTCTCATTGGGCTTTATTAATGTGGAGCCCGGGGCCCGTCAGCACATGTCCAGCAACACACAGCGAGTGAATGAGAATCTGCCTCACCTCCGCCGCCAGTTTCTTCATGTAGGGGTCGATCTCATCCAGAAGGTTGAAGCCCTGGTGGAAAAGCCCATACTGAGCCTGCATGAAGGACAGCATCTGCAGAGCACAGCAAATGTTGAGAACACAAAACCATGACGGATGCTTTCACATGCACTGTGATCAAAATAATATGACAAAAAATCATGACTACAAATGTTTTTATGTTTCACTTATTTTAATAATTCAATTAAATTCAAGTTTATTTGTAGAGCGCTTGTCATAATAATTTTTAGGGCTGCACGATACTGGAATAAATGTTACACTGCGATCTCCATTTAGAAAGAGGGAGAGCATCTCCACTAGACCTAATAAACAATCTTTCAAATTTTGGAGGTTCCGTTGACACATTTTTGTTGTTGGTGGTGCTATTTGCAGTGCGTTTCTTTATTTGCATGTGTTGAGAGTACTTTAATGCACGAATTTAGTTGATGAGATTGATGAATTAATGTTTACTATTTGCATCTCCATTAAATTTAATAAACAACCCCCCCCCCTCCTCCCGACACGTTTTAGTTGTGGTCTGTGCTATTTGCAGTGCATTTCTGTATTTGCATGTGTTATGACTATTTTCATGCATACCAATCTATAAATACAATCAAGAACAAGATTCAATTGTAACAAAGAGTTTATAATTTCCTGAGTCTAACAGTATTCAATTACAGTAACTGTATGATAAAAAAATTCAATAAAATTAATCATAGTTAAGGTCAAAAATTGGACAATTTCGTATACCTGAATGCTTTAAAACACATTATACAATCATAGACATCAAAAACACGTGCAAATAATCAATGGGATGATAATAATAATAATAATAATAAATCATCAATTTGGGAATGATCACATTGCAATATTGATACGGATTCGATATATTGTGCAGCTATAATCATTATCATTTTAAAGCAGCTTTACAAAAAGTGCACATTACTGCATTGCAATCAGATTAATTTATAAGTTACAATTAAATATAAGTAATTATATATATATATATATATATATATATATATATATATATATATATATATATATATATATATATATATATATATATATATAAACATAAACATTGTTAGCCTGCATACTGTATTATGTGTATATAAGAAGTTAATCAGGTTTCAGCTAGATTTTGTAAGTTATGCAAAGTGTAACATAATATTTTTGGTCAGCTTGACTGATAGAAGTTAAAATGACTAGAACAGTTAATTTGATTCAACATCAAAAAAATAAGAGAGCAATATTTTATTTCAGTGTGGTGTTTAAATGCACTTACCGAATCCAAAATCTCAAATTTCTTTTTGGCCTGAAGAACATTGATCTGGAGAAAATTATTAAGAGAGGTGTATTAGTAGCTGCTTGTATGGAAAGCATTTTAGGATTAAAACCTGCAACCTTTAGTTACATATAAATATGATGCATGATGTAATTAATGTAAATCAATAAGTATTTTTTTTTCATATTTCTTTATTCTGAATCTTTAGGAAAGGTTTTTGGTAGATCAAAACATGTGCTATGCTATGATGACAATCCGACAAGCTAATACAAAAAAAACAGTGCTTAAAATGTCACTAAATGCATTAAAAGCTCATGATTAAATAGAAAATGAAGTAAATAACTGCAAAAAGGTCCACTACTTAAGAAAAAACAACCACCGCTTTCACCAGGCTGGCTACGGGCCTGATGTATGAAACAATAGATCAACGGGAATCATGCTCCCTTGTCTGAAATATACCCAGTTCTCTTTACCTGCAGTACGTAGTCGAGGGCGAGGTGTCTGAAGCACTTGCGGGTGGTGATGAGGGTGCTGGTCGCCTCCTCCACCTCGTGTGGTTTGTTGCGGGGCGCCTGCGCGTTCTTCACCTGGGCGATCTCCATATCCTCCCGCACCTTATCAAACTGCTTCTTCGTCTCTTTAAACTTACGAACATCCCTGCGCAGACACACATCACAGAGTCAGACATGCAAAATCAATGAGGACTTGCTGCTGAATAAAACAGCTTAAACCAGCCTAAGATGGTTGGCTGGTTTTAGCTGGTCGACCTATTAAAGGGGTTTGGGCCATTTCCAGGCTGGTATTAGCCATTTTTAGTCTGATCTTAGCTGGACACAGCTGGGCTCCAGAGTAAAAAGAGAGAGAAATCATAAGATGCAACTCACTCCTTCACAAAACTGTGCAACTGTTGCTTTACGGATCTCTGGGCCTGATCGAACAGGATCTGCAAGAGATAAGCAAGAAAAAAACAAAACGTGTGAGTTGGTAAAAATATATATTGAGGAAGTGGCTATAATGGTACTCTGAATAAAACAGGAGTAGGTTGAAATCAGAGTGGGTTTGGGTGGGTTTAACCCCTATAATTAAAACAGTTCACAGTGGTACTGTAGATGGTATCGCCACTGGCTTGCTTGGTCTTGGGACTTGTGGAGCTGAACTAAACTAAGCTTCAACTCTGAAAACTGGACTGACACAGTTTCAGTTTACTAGACTTTCTATGTCAGGCTGCTTTGACACAATCTACATTGTAAAAGCGCTAGAGAAATAAAGATTAATGGAAATTAATTAAAACAATAATTTTAAGAATTCAATGGTATGAACCGTTATGGGGTGGTCAAATGCTTCATCTATTGTTCTAATTATTAATATAATTATCTAAGATGTTTAAATTTAATATATTAAATTATATATTAGGATTAAACATCTTTAACAATAATAATAACTTTTGAGAAAAGTCAATGCAAAACCAGCAACTTTAGGCAATAATCTTTTATCAACAGTAATTTTTCCCGCGGCGAGGCAGTGGCGCAGTAGGTAGTGCTGTCGCCTAACAGCAAGAAGGTCGCTGGGTCGCTGGTTCGAACCTCTGCTCAGTTGACGTTTTTGTGTGGAGTTTGCATGTTCTCCCTGCCATCGCGTCGGTTTTCCCCACAGTCCAAAGACATGTGGTACAGGTGAATTGGGTAGGCTAAATTGTCCGTAGTGTATGAGTGTGTGTGTGTGTGTGTGTGTGTGTGTGTGTGAATGTATGTGTGGATGTTTCCCAGAGATGCGTAAAAACTTGCTGGATAAGTTGGCGGTTCATTCCGTTGTGGCGACCCCGGATTAATAAAGGGACTAAGCCGACAAGAAAATGCACTAAACAGCATATCCAAACCATAACAATAGGCAAAACACAAGAAACGACAGGACAAAAACAAAGTACAGAAAAAAAAACATTTTAAAATGAAAAGCAAAAATCCCTGAATTTCCACGATAACCAAAATATTACATGCAATTCCCTGACTTTCAATGCCTGGAATAGACTTTTTAATACACCATGATATTCTAGAAAATTCCATGACACGTGGGAACACTGAGTTATGGAGTTATGGTAGATAAAAGATGCATTTCTCTTACATCACCAGCAGATGGCAGGGCGGTTGAAGCTTAGTGTGCGTAAAGCAGATCGACTGAAGCTAAAGAGCCTCACACACACACACACGCACACACACACACATTCAAACGTCACGGTCAGGGGTTAAACACCTCACAGATGCATCCCACACGAGCTGGCAGAGCGACATTACACACCAACGTCATCCAGGTCACAAAAACTACAGCGTGCACATGCGCTCAGCCCCAGGCTCTGCTGAGGAAAGCTCTCAATGAAGGCTGTAAAAATGACAAGTCTGTCAGTGCGGATCATACATGATGTCAGCAGAACGGGCCTCCATGCTGCTCTCATCCGTATTTCTGAGGCTGAAATAATGTATAAGCTGAATGGGAGAGCATGTGATAGAGGCTGTCACATGCAGCAGGAGGGCAGCGTGTCTGCAGGGTAAAGCCAGCATGTGAGAGAGGAAGAACTGGGAGAAGATGAAGCAGAGATGCTTAGACATTTGCATTTTGAGCGCTTTCATCAAGTCCCAGCCTTTGCATTTTTACAAAGGACTAGACTGGAATCAGCATTTCTTTTTTCATTCAAGCAGTTAAAATGTCCCAATTCTTTCATTAGGGATGCTTGCTGTCGGTGGCGCAAAGAGGGGGTATGCAGTATATGCATAGGTGCGCCACACATGATTTTTGAAATTATGCTTATTAATAGTTTCCAAAAATAAAAATAAATAAATATGTTGTGTTAAAAATCTGTTTAACATTTTATGAAAAGTATTATATCGGCTCAATTGGCGCTTCTGTGTGGAGTTTGAATGTCCTCCCTGCGTTCGCATGGGTTTCCTCCGGGTGCTCCGGTTTCCCTCACAGTCCAAAGTCATGCAGTACAGGTGAATTGGGTGGGCTAAATTGTCCGTAGTGTATGAGTGTGTGTGTGAATGTGTGTGTGGATGTTTCCCAGAAACTGGAAAGGCATCCGCAGCGTAAAAACTTGCTGGATAACTTGGGGGTTCATTCCGCTGTGGTGACCCCGGATTAATAAAGGGACTAAGCCGACAAGAAAATGAATGAGTTGCATATGTTGGCGCACACATTTTCATTCAAAATCATTTAGGCCAGGTATTGACCTTATTCTAAAATGCGGAAGTGCTCCTGTTTTCACGATTGTCTTAGAACTTCCGATTCAGTCGCCTATGGGAGAAACGACTAGGAATAATAAACGGCAGAAAACGGTCAAACTACTTGCTCTACAAACAAATGTTTGCAAGACTATATAGACCAAGTAGAATACTATAATAAGGAAATATCAAATTTCAACATCAAGCAGCGTAATGAGCAGTTTTTAACGTCAAAAAAATGAATGGAAGTGAATGAGACCGGAAGTCTCGAGCCAAAAAGATTCAAATGGCAGCGCCCACTCGTCGGCGGAGAATAAGGTGAATAAAGTGTTCATGTAGATGTAACCGTTTACATTTTTTATGTTTTTATCAAAATAAACTGTCAAATCATAAATACAGTACAGTTGAGGTCAAAACTTATAAGATTAATCTGAAACAAATTCTTTATTAATTAATTAATTAATTAATTTGCCAAAATAAGAGGGAGGACACAAAATGTATATATTATGCAAGTACAGACCTGAACATATTTCAGGTAAAATAGAAAATAATATTTGGATTAAAAATTCCCGTATATGAATTTTATATACTTGATTATAATGATTCATACTGAGTCATAATATTTACATTTTTTTGGAACTGAAATGTTTATTACTCTTTAAATCAAGATCTATTTTTATACCATATACATGTTTTTATACATTTATTATGTATCATAATGATACATCAGGCCTTTTGGCTACTTTTTTTGGTCAAAACTATTTTAATTTTAGTTACAAAAAAAGTTTGCCAGTAAAGTTTTGATAAAGTAGAAAATTTTAGGCAGTTTGTCTTTGTATATTTTCTACACTAAACATTTTACAGGGTGCAAAACTTGAACCCGTATACCCTTCAGTAAATGTGTGGTTGTGCCCCTGCTTGCTGCTATGTCAATACTGATGAGCAGGATTGCAACGGTGAAAATTGCTCACATTTCTGTTTATATCATGCTTTAAGGCAGGGCTATGTCATGGGGGGCCAATTCATGAAAAGCATCCCAAATGAGGGACCGGAGAGATATGACTTGCAATGTAAGTGATGTCTAAATTAAACATTGATATATTGCAGTGTTTCTCAACTGCTGGTGGGTCGCGAGAACATTTTCAGTGGGTTGCGGAGTGTGTGGTCAAAAAAACAACAAAAGTTTAATTTTTAACTTGTTTTGACTTTTATTTTGAAATGCGTGCACGACAACCCTACCGTTTGACATGTGAAATTTAATTTAAATATAGCAACAAATATGTCGAAGCGCAAGTACGACCCTGAATATGTAAAGTATGGATTTACATATATTGACGACAAAAAAGACTTTAAACCTCAGTGTGTCATAAGTAGCGAGGTGCTCTCACAATAGAGCTCGAAACCTTCTAAATTAACACGACATTTAGAAACCAGACATGTTTTATTAACAGTTCCGTTTAGTTCATGGTAACTGAACCTTTCCTAACCACTGTTTACAGTATTTGACGTTTTTACTTTGTAATATTTCTAAATTTTTTTACATTTTGTTAAATGATAGCAATAAAATATAGTTTATTTATAAGTCTTTGTGATTTTTTTATGTTAAACCAGTTGAGAACCCCTGATTTATTGTATTTTGAACTTACATAACATTACTGCATTATACAATGGGATATTTTTTACAAACATATTCAAATGTTGTATTTCGAAGCACATCAAAATCAGTACATTGATTAAGTAGGCTTCTTTTACATTCAGACACATTCATTTGTTAAGTTTTAAACCGCGTAACAATTAGGGATGCAACAATTATAGATTTTGGTTGTACAATTATAGTCAGAAGAATAATCATGACTTCATAAATCATGATTATTATGCTTTTATTAAATTCAAAACACTACTTATTGGGTTTGGGTCGATAGACGATGCCATCGTCCATTGCCAATGGCTGATAAACTTCACGATGCTGAGCCGGCATCGCAATCCATCGCCCCGCCCATTTATTTTGATATACAACTTATTATTTGCATCTCATCTTAATAGCAATAACGGCCTTTACATGAGCTGTGAAATTTTACATATAGCTGCCGCTTGTACGGCTGACAGCAGCGTGAGGATTAAATGAAGGATTATACAGCACCTCTCGCGCTTAAAATCTGTAGATTTAGTGGCAAACGCTGTTACCTGCAAACCCCGTCCCACAGACTTTACAGTGAACGGCTTTAGTTATTTTCATAGCGGACTTGAAGCCACTGGAAGTCTTTAATCCACTCTTGGAAAAGTGTAAATGGTGGATTAACATACAGCACATGATTACTACTAAGATGTGCCATTATTAGTAACTTTAGGTGGTTTCTAAAACAAGATCTGTCAGTGTTATTTTCGCTCTCTCATCTTCAGCGCTTCACATTTTCGTGGTTGTAGCTCCTGTCATCTGAAGACAAAGAAATCTGTTTCTTACTCATTTTTCTAGCTTGTGGGTTAAATTTTGGCACTCAAGTGACTGAAATGTAACCGGGAGAATACAAAAAATCAAAATAAAATTCAAAATAAATGATTTTTCAAAATAAAAGATCGTTTAGGGATTTGTTTAAAGAGACTTCGATAACAAATAAAACAAAAATAATTAAGAATTTCTTGTCCGGCCTATGACCCAGGGAATTTGGGACCACTGGTATATTAAATAGACATATAAATATGTATTAAAGCATATTCACTGATGATCAAGATG